GCCAGGGAGAGAGGGAACGGAGAAGGGAATGGGAGGAGGAATGAAACAGAGGAGGGAGTGGAGGGGTAGCCGGGGAGAGAGGGACTGGAGAAGGGACCGGAGCAGTGGAGGGGTAGCTGGGGAGAGAGGGACCGGAGAAGGGACTGGAAGGAGGAACGGAGCATAGGAGGAAGTGGAGGGGTAGCTGAGGGAGAGCGGGACCAGAGAAGGGAACGGAGCAGTGGAGGGGTAGCTGGGGAGAGAGGGACCGAAAGGAGGAATGAAACAGAGGAGGGAGTGGAGGGGTAGCCAGGGAGAGAGGGACCAGAGAAGGGAACGGAGCAGTGGAGGGGTAGCTGGGGAGAGAGGGACCGAAAGGAGGAATGAAACAGAGGAGGGAATGGAGGGGTAGCCAGGGAGAGAGGGACAGGAGAAGGGAACGGAGCAGTGGAGAAGTAGCCGGGGAGGGACTGGAGAAGGGAACAGGAGGAGGAGCAGAGCAGTGGAGGGGTAGCTGGGGAGAGAGGGACCGAAAGGAGGAATGAAGCAGAGGAGGGAGTGGAGGGGTAGCCAGGGAGAGAGGGACCGGAGAAGGGAACGGAGCAGTGGAGGGGTAGCTGGGGAGAGAGGGACCGAAAGGAGGAATGAAACAGAGGAGGGAGTGGAGGGGTAGCCAGGGAGAGAGGGACCGGAGAAGGGAACGGAGCAGTGGAGGAGTAGCCGGGGAGGGACTGGAGAAGGGAACAGGAGGAGGAACAGAGCAGTGGAGGGGTAGCTGGGGAGAGAGGGACCGAAAGGAGGAATGAAGCAGAGGAGGGAGTGGAGGGGTAGCCAGGGAAAGAGGGACCGGAGAAGGGAACAGGAGGAATGCAGCGGGGAAGGACTAGGGGCAGGCCACAGGGACTGCAGCAGCCCCCCCAACGGAGGCCAGGCGTGATGGCCATGGGGGGCACAGGGGGCAGGGCATGCGGCTCGATTCTGTACCTCAACGTTTGCAACACAAACGGGAAAAAAAGGACAAAAAATCTATTGTAAAAAAAAAGGAAAAAAACTTTATTGCAAGAAACCACTAAAAAGCCACTTTGTCTTCCATTCCCACCGGGGGTCTGGGGCCATGGGGGGCAGCTCCCCCCCATGCCCCCCAGATCCCCCTCACGAGGGACTCGCCGGGGTCTCTCGGTTGAGTCGCTCGATTTTCCTTTGATCAAAACGCCCTTTTGTTTAATTTGTCAAAACTCCATGGGGGGCGGGGGAGGGGACCGACGTGAAAAAAAGATCATCAAAACTAATTCACGAAAATCCTTTTTCCAATAAAATGCAATAAAAGCAGCATCGCAGGCCTGGCGTTTGGTGTGGGGGTGGGGCTGGGGTCCGAGCCTCTGTTTGCAGCGACAGGGGATGGGTCACTTGGTGGTTCCCTGTTCGGTTCCTTCCCTCTGGGGCACCTGGCATTGGCCACCGTCGGTAGACGGGACACAGGGCTGGATGGACCTTCGGTCTGACCCAGTCTGGCCGTTCTTATGTGGGGAGGATGGATGGAGGTGTGTGTGTGGAGATAGATGGTTGGGGGTGGGTGGTTGGAGAGGATGAGGATGGATGGAGGGAAGGGTGA